ATAATTATAGAATTATTTTGACTTAAATTCTTCCTTGGAAAGTCCAATATGAATGAGTGTATATTTAGAGGCAAACACCATAGTGCGGGTATTACTGTCTCATGACAGCATCTAGTTTCAAATTAACAACCCCACCCCCTTGTCTTATAAATTAAGGATGTCAGGAAAAAAGAAATGGTCGTCTTTACATTTTTATTAGGAAAATGTCAAGCTCCATGCTCCTATTAATATCAATAAGAAACTTAACGTAGGTCTCGGGTTTACAGGGCTTTTAAAAGTGTTCGAAAACATACCACGAAAATTACCTATATGATTTCTCTACCTTTGATTTCCATTCTTTGAAAATTTTATAAAATTCGTCTGCACCGTTTTTGTGTAATTGAATTCCAAAGATGTCATTGTTATAGTTACATTTTCAACTGTATTCTATTGAATTGTATAGGGAAAACGTCGTTTTTGGCTTGTTTTCAAGCAAGATTTTCATTTAAAAAATGTACATAACTTTTAAATCTTGCAGACGAATTTGTTTATCCTTTGGTAATTAAAAATAGAATCGATTTGAAATAAATCTATGTAAAAAAAAATAATATGTCTTCGAGTTCATTTTTTCGTAATTTAATTGTAGATAATTGTTTTTATATTGGAAAATGTAGCATTTTTAAGAACAACGTCATAAAATATCGCGACGTCACGCTTGACGTTGTGAATATCGATCCGGTATACAGAGCAAAAAAAAAATTATACGGATTCTAAGAAAAAGGAAATTCACGTAACGCTTCTTTAAAATGACCAGTATCATAATAATTCAATAAAATAATTATTAGACATTTTTCCCTTTCAGCTTATTACGTCTAATGTTAGTGAAAATTCACGTAAAAGGCGTAAACCAACAATCAGTCCTTTCTTTTTCTTTTTTTTTTTTTTTAATTTTCTTTATGTGTTTTTTTCTTACCGTTTCTTTTTCTTTTTTTTCATACGCGGATTCTCGCCGGAATTTGTAAAATAAAAGTGATCTTGTATTCCCCTCTGGAAAAGGCAGACTCGCCATCCCCGTTGAAATCGCAGATCTGTGATCTAAGTTTGTTTGAAAAGTCGTAGGTATGAAGATAATTCAGAAGGCAAGGACTACTAACACCCCCAACTCCCACCCCCGAAATATGTTTTTTACGCTTTGTATATATCCCTTTTCTTTAGAAAGTTCAGCAAGGCTATCAAATCAACAATAACTTCTTATGAATCAATTTCCGCAAAAAGTATTAATGCATTCAGTGTTTATATTGAAAATGTTTTTGTTTAAGTTTACAAAGAGGCAGCGAATAACCATAATAAATCTTAACTTGATTTTATTTTATGCTTATACGTATAAAGGATAGGAAAAAATGCATAATTAAAAGGAATTTTTAGAGGAGTAAATTGGACGATAATTTAAACATTAATTTTATATGGCGAAATCAACAGGCAGATTTTATTTTGCTCTTAGACTTTCAATGTATACATGAAACATAAATTCTACTGTGTGAACATGGAAAGCAACACATCGAATAAAATATGTACCTGCAACTAACAACAACGCGTGCCGTTACTCACAGGCACTTGGAGTATCGACCCCCCCCTTTCTGTTTTTCTGGAGGTTTTCCTATTTCGGATTTTTAATACGTATTGCATGTTATTAATGATATCATCTCTTTATGTTGTTTTTAAATACATGTTTATCTCTTTATGTTGTATTCGATAAATTTGAAACACGCTCTTCTTCTTTTTCAGATTTCCATTTATATAATTCATGTTATTTCGATTAAATAATGCACATATAGTGTTACGGCCATTTGGGTAACTAGACTTTTTAGGGTCATTTAAGTGTGATGTGACACATCAGAAGCGTAGAGAATTTGCTAGTTTACTATGATATTTTCCAGTCTTTGTAATATTTATTTCACCGGAGGAAACTATGTAAATCATTTAGCTGTATACACTGTATATTTGTCATCTCGGTATAACCTGGCTATCAAGTTATTGTTGAAAGTACTTGTGCACTATGCAATTAAAGTTAGGTACACGTTTTTCTAACATGATTTGTGTCTTATGCCTCTTTGTTTACATTTTGACGACAGTTTTTGTGTATTGAAGTATTTTCTCATGATTATTTGCTAGGATGTGTTATCATGTATAACTTGCTTGAAATATCTTGTATTTATAGTATTTTTTCTTTGTATTTTTTGTAGTAAATCATTTCTATTTATATAATTCTTTATGTGCCTCCGATTAGTAAATATTTCGATTAAATCAACATGCACATATAAGGTGGAGTTAAAATTCAAAAACTGGAAAAAGTTTACTCACTCCTGGCGTTAGAAAGTAAAAAATGGTAAGTAGGGAGGGGGTCATATCCTACGTGCCTGTGGTTATTTACAAGAGGTCAATGCCTCTCAAAAAATTGTATATAATTTAGTTTATGTTTCATTAGTATTACCCTGGTAGTGCCTTAGCAGTTTTTAATTTGTCATCAACCTGTATATAGATTTGTCCGAGATTAGCAGATACCGTTTCATAATTGAGTTTGACTTTCCATTGGTGAGCAGAGTTTTGACACTGTTTACGGAAAAAACGAAAACAAAGACATGCATGCCATATATGGTTGTGTAGATAAATTATAGTAGAAGACAATGGTTAATAGTTTGTAAGTGCATTTCCACTGAAAGTGTACACTAAAATGAGTGCATTTTTGAGGATGGGGTATCGAGTGTAATTCGGAGTTAGATAACCTGTTTTATAATTATACACATCTAATACATGTATTTGATATTTATAAATCATACATGATTCAAAGGTTGAAATTTATTTCCGAAACAAGTACATGTGCTCTCAGAATAGACCCGAGAAGATGCGATTGATAACACATATATATAATGAAACGCTTTCTAAACTTTCAGTGATGGTCATTCAAATCGAACTGAGCCTTCATTATTTTTGATAACTTCAGCATGTTCTATGAATACTGTTTCACAAAACTACCTATTTCAACAAAAGTTATAGCTAGATAATGTACCGAATTTTTCCCTTTCTCACCGTGACGTCACAATCAGATGTGCACAAGAATATAAATTGCGTACCCAGTTTTAATGACGTCAGCAAACCCGCGACCTACGTTAAGAAAAATAAACCGACGTTTTATATTTTGTATGATACTCAAGAGTCCCCTTTCAAATAAAGTTGCGTTATTGCTACACTTGCACGCGATTTTGTTTTTCGCTTGTTGCTTTCAAGTAAGCTACGTGTGATGCAAGCTTATATTGACGACAAGTAAATTCGACTTCTTTCAAACGCACAGTTAACGCTTAGGAAATTCTACGGTAAACCGGACACGCATGATTTGCACGTATTTGACATTTCTGTAATGATATCCATCGCTAAGTGTGTTGCTGAGGGTAAAAAACGGATTGTAAAATGCGCCTAATCAAATCAGATTTTAACCTTAAAGTATGATAAAAATAATATAACATGCGTGCAATTATGTGCCTACGGTTCGAAGGAGAATTCTAAAAACGTCAGTTTGTTTAAATGAACCAGAATAAATTTGACGTCAATCAAAGTTAGTACCTGATGAAGCTTATCTGAATAAAATTGTGCGCGAGTTCACAAATAACACAATTTAAAATGAATATCTCTTTGAATATGAATATCGTATAAGTAGCAAAGGAAGAAATTTCCGCGCGTTGAAATCTGAAAATATTATAGGGTTATTGGACTTATATTATTTAACTTATATTGGTGAATATTGGCACCAGTTGGCTGTTCAAATGCACGAACTTCCGAGTGCATTTGAACAGCCAACGAGTGCCAATATTCACCAATATAAGTTCAATAACTCCTTTATTATATAGCTAAAACATTTCCATATAATTTATAACAATTATTTCACCTAAAATATCATAATAATAATTTTCAAATATTGGTATTTAACGTCTGTCATGTAAGCGTTTTATATTGCATCATTCTGATGACCCTACCGAGCGATATGATTTGCTTTTTTGGTTTTAATGGGTGTAATGTATTCAATTTTTATTAAATGATTTCATTTTGTGTGAAAAATAAACACGTCTTCCCTAAATGCCACTTCATTACTTTAATTAAGCTCTGAGAATTTGACCAGGCGATCTTTTCTGTTTACAACGAGGCGTTCGATATTGCACGCTCGTATTCGGAATGTTTCGGGCATACTCGTATGCTTAATACAAAGTCAGCGTTCAATAAAACGTCAAGATATGAACTAAAATTCTCTAGATTTTTGGTTGTTTTTTATTAGAGACTATTGATTAGCTTTATAATAATATAATATGATGTTATTCTTAAAAAAATTAATTTCGTATCTTTTAATCCCATTTCTGATTTTTTTTTCTGTTTAGTTTCTTCTATTTTTTTCTCTCTCTCTCTCTCTTAACAATAATCTGGACCGTCAAGAAGATAGCAATTCACAAACACGCCAAATCAAATTCAGAAATTTAAACAAGGAATGAAATAAAGCACAAATATTTTTTGTCATCTCACCCAATCAAAACTATTAGCCTCATTTGATTAACAGCAAAAAGATTAACAAAATCTGAAATGAAGAAAGGTCATTTATTGACAAAATGACGAAATCACTAAATACCGTATACATACATTTTGTAAGAAAAGTTAATAACACTCCATGAGCAAAATTAACTTAATGTACTATGTCAAATTTTTATAAATATAAAAGGTATATTTTATAGAAGTAAGTCTTTTTATTCACAAGTAATAATTGATGACTATTCAAGTATTCGTTGTTTAAACTTTAAGGAGGGAATTCTATTGCATCCTCTATCAATTTCTTTCCTCCCGAATTATCTGTAACTGTAGACAAAAAGAAAAAGATTAACTAAAAAAAAGGATCAACAATAAAGCTTAAACTTATTTTGCCGAAATCCATTAATTTAAAATATAAAACAGACTTAACATAAAATGATAGGGAAATTGATAAGAAATGTGTTTGTTCAAAGAATAACGGATGTTTACCTAGTGACGTTTGATCATCATCATGGTTCCTCTCACTGATGTCCCACTCCTTACTGTGGGATACCATGGTCTGTACCAGGACTCCGGGGACCAGGGACCGTTAAGGAAGGCTCGGTGACAGGCGTTAAACCACCAGCCTCCTCCGTAGACAGCAGCACAGTTACCTCTAGATCTGTCGTTATCTCTGTCCGGGGTGGAGAAGGACATCCCAGACAGATCTCTGTATGAATTACCTGTATCTAACATAGCGTCACCTGTAGAAGTAAAAGTAATACCTACATGATTATCATCAACCTTTGTGAGTAATACGTACATGATTCTCATTAAGCATTGTGAGTAATACCTACATGATTCTCATAAAGCATTGTGAGTAATACCTACATTATTCTCATTAAGTCTTGTGAGTAATACCTACATTATTATCATTAAGCCGTGTGAATAATACCTACATTATTATCATTAAGCTTTGTGAGTAATACCTACATTATTCTCATAAAGCCTTGAGAGTAATGCCTACATTATTATCATTAAGTCTTGTGAGTAATGCCTACATTATTATCATTAAGCCTTGTGAGTAATACCTACATTATTTTCATTCAGCCTGAAAGAGTCTCTTTATTCTGTTGATTGTGTTCATTTCTTTTATAAATTAACTATACCGGACTAAAAGCAAGACAACTTCACTGACTTATTCAACAATTCAGCAAATACGAATGGGGAATAAAATTAAAAAAAAAGAAATATCCTGTCTGATGTATGATATCCCTCTTCCTTATTTTGCTGCATGATATAATATACCTTTAGCTACATCTTTTATCCATGCTTTGATATTTATCTAGTCTAACTTTACCACGTAGGACTTAATCAGTGTTAAAAAAAGTTTTAATGTTCACAATGTGAAATATGCAGTATAATTATATATGAATAAATAATAAAATAAAAAAGAATCTATTAAAAAAATAGAAAAATAGATCCATATGTTAAAAAAATAAAGATACAATGTAGATAAGTAATGAAAACAATGAAACCAAATTTAAAAAATGCATTATATTTATAAACTAAGGCAAACACAGGATAAATATATTAAAAGTAATTACATAATTAATATCATAATGATTTTACTACCGGTTGCATGAACATTAAATACAAAAAATTCTCTCTCTCTCTCTCTCTCTCACTTACTCTCTCTCTCTCTCTGTTAAAACTCACAGATCAACTCACCCGTCTCATTACTTTTAAACCCAAAAGCAATTCTCTCTCTCTCTCTCTCTCTCTCTCTCTCTCTCTCTCTCATTATTTTTAAACCCAAAGGCAATTCTCTCTCTCTCTCTCTCTCTCTCTCTGTGTGTGTGTTAAAACTCACAGATCCACTCACCCGTTTCATTATTTTTAAACCCGAAGGCAATTCTCTCTCTCTCTCTCTCTCTCTCTCTCTCTCTCTCTCTCTCTCTCTGTTAAAACTCACAGATCCACTCACCCGTTTCATTATTTTTAAAACACAAAGGCAATTCTCTCCTTCTCTCTCTCTCTCTCTGTTAAAACTCACAGATCCACTCACCCGTCTCATTATTTTTAAAACACAAAGGCAATTCTCTCCTTCTCTCTCTCTCTCTCTCTCTCTCTCTCTCTCTCTCTCTCTCTCTCTCTGTTAAAACTCACAGATCCACTCACCCGTCTCATTATTTTTAAACCCAAAGGCAATTCTCTCTCTCTCTCTCTCTCTTTCTCTCTCTCTCTCTCTGTTAAAACTCACAGATCCACTCACCCGTCTCATTATTTTTAAACCCAAAGGCAATTCAGAGATGGATGAGCAATTTTTAACTCTCGTTGAAAAGAACTATTGTTCTTTGGTATCTGTTTATGCTCTCTAAAATGATTTTGATATCTCTCTCTCTCTCTCTCTCTCTCTTAGTCTCATTTATCTCTTACCCAGGGTCTGGTCCCCCGAGCAAGAGTCTGTAGTTGTCTGACTCATCAGCTATAGAGAATAGTTTATACATTTCGTTTAATGTTGTACCATTTCTAAATGTGATGGAGACGTAGAGGGATGAGTTCCTTCCCTTTGTCAGCTCGTGAATAACGTCGTTTCCTACAATACGTCATTTGTAGCATTAAAAAGAATAAAAAAATTAGGAGTATAATATACATCCTAAACGTATAAAAAATTGTGGATTTCATGAATATCTGCATCTTTGCTAACCAAGTATCTCTCTCTCTCTCTCTCTCTCTCTCTCATCTTCCATTACATTATGTCAACTCTTTATGACATTAACCCACACTACCATTGCATCGTCTCTCTTTTATCAACTCTTTATGACATTTACACATACTACAATTTTATTTCGTCAACTTGCATTTCGTTATGTTTACTTTTCATGACAAACTTAGTTTTTGTTAACTGATGTGAAAAGCTCATGCCATACTGTGCGCACTCTTCTACATTATGTCGATTCACTATTACGTTATGCGAACGCGGGTATCCTCGGCCTTTATATGAGCATAACGTATTTTCCGCGTTCCGCAAGCACTAAAATGGCGGGAGAGAAAACTGTCGTAGAAGAGATTCTCAGCGATTTCGGAATGACATCTTTAAATGAAAACTTTAAGCGACAAATGATTGACAATCTTGAAACATGCAAAGCCTTAACACTGAGAGAGAGAGATGTTTACTTTAATCTGATAATTAAATAAATCAAATATTATGAGTCGTGCAGCAATCATTTTTTTCTTTTTATTTTGAATTTTCTTTTTCTTTTTTTTATAAAAGTCTTAAACTTTGTAGGACATTGCATTAGTTTCACATTAAGTTTAGCTGAATTAAGTTGAAAACTTTTTTCTATAAAACTATAAAGCCCGAGAGCTTCTCCGCTTTCCGCACTTGGTCTCCAACCATATACTGTCCCCCTTCCTTGTTCAAGATTCCCATATCTGCCACTGATATGTGCCCATGCATGCTTACTAAGGCATATTCAATTGATTTAGATGAACTGGTAGATTTTTGTAAACTGGCCCTGGAATGATTAAAAAAACTACTAACTCCAGTGACGTGGCATCATTTTTTTGAAAGAGAAGGTCAGCCAGTAAAAAAAATCATTTATCTCTCTCCGAAAATCCTATTTCGAAAATCCTATCTCTCTCCTATTTTTTTTTCCAGATATATTATATTACCCTTCGTGGACTATATTTCAACAAGAAGTGGGGGTGGGGGCTGTACAGTTTCAATGAACATTACATTTTCTATAGTAAGGTTATCTCTGGGAAAAGAGGAGGGTTGATATTATGTGCCTGTAATTTGTCCTAATCAACCACGACCCCCCTCCCTTCTTACCAGTCATTAAAACACGGTCGTCAACATTTATTATATACTAGATATACAGCTTTGAGATAATGTAAATGTATTTTTGCATCAGGTAATGAACTTGGAATCCACATGATAAAGAGTTAACACAAAATAAAGATATTTTTAAATCACATAAGAAAAAGTTGGCATCCACATCACGGTATGGAGTTTTGACATAATGTAATAAAGTGTTGATATAATATAAAGATATGTTCACATTATGTTATACACTTTTTACACCACGTAATAAAGCACTGACATAAAGGTAAGATGTATTCACCTCACATCATGATGCCCTCGCCGTAAAATAAAGATAAATCCATATCACGTAATAATACTTTGTAGAATAGAAATATACACTCTCAAAAAGGAATGGGCTTTTGACTTCATGTGATGATAAGTTTGATTATAAAGCACAATTTACTTGACGTAATGCAATTTTGACTTCACATATTAAAGAAATGAAAGGATGTAAAGAAACATTCATTTCACGTAATAAAGTTTTAACACAATGTAAACAATTTTTCACTTCACATAATGATTTTTTTACTTCAAGTTATGAAGTGGTGACATGATGAAAGGGTGTATTTACTTCATGTAATGCAGCATTGACATGATGTTAAGATATATTTTCATCATCCCATAAAAAATGGATATAACGTAAAGATATGTTCACATCACGTAATGATAAATTGACGTAATAAATGCATAGTTGTATGCTATAAGGCAGTGATGGCGTTCCATAACCAAGGGTTTCTGATACGCTACTTTCCTCATGAACCCTTTGCATACGGTGAAGTAAAAAGACGGGATTGTTTTCCGTCACGTGATCTCGAATCTCAGGTACGCAGGTGCGTCATCGACAGAAATAAAGAGATGTGTATAAAAAATCTAATCTACGTTTTTCTCAAGAACAATTAAGAAGCAATAAATCAATAATGTTTATTTATTATTTATAGTACAAATTTGCAGTTTCAATATAGATTCTTAATCACATATTTAGAAGATATTGGATGACACCATAGCTATTCATAGAATTGCATGTTATCTTACGGATCGTTGTTTACTTGCGCTTTTCATTTCCGAGATTAAAGAGTCAAGAAGTATCCCGAACGCAAATATCGTCATTTACAAAACACAATTGCTGATTGGTTGACCGGGTGCACTGAGTAAAAAAAACATAACTTCTATCAACACCGTATGCCAAGGGATTATGAAGAGAGAAGCGTATGAGAAACCCTTGGCTTGCGATAATGGAATGTCTGACTTTAATTACGATTTGTAGGTATCTCATAACTGTGTAATACATGTGCTTGATTGCTAAGTTGTGGTAACTTATACTACAATATATATTATGAATTGAATTTTACTTTGTTTAATAAAATTACATTCGTTGATATAACACAGACAAAATATTGCTTAAGATCTTAAGATTGCTTAAGAACAGTTATTCTACAAAGACATGTCCAAAGTAAGATTTTTTATTTCGCTCTCTAACTTACTAATATCAACAGAAACAAAATATTGCTTACTATATAACAGTTATTCTACAAAGAAATGTCCAAAGTAAGATTTTTTATTTCGCTCTCTAACTTACTAATACTTTAATTTATCATATTTCAACTATAATTTCAAGGATCGATTTTAACCCTAGAAATTCGAAAAGACACATGGCCGTGTAAATATTTGGTAACAGTTTTGAAAAGAGCATAGTATAATTTTAAAAATACCGTATTCTACTGAAAATTGTAATCTCATAATATCAGTGAAAAATGTATTCGTGGACTAAATGCATTGTCGTTATCTTTTGAAAGAGAAAAATATACATGTTATAAAGAAATATCGTTTTATACACTTTTTTGGCAAAATTTTGGAAAAGATAGAGTAAACTCTAAACTGAAATCACCTAGGCAACAAAACAATTCAACATTATTTTATATGTGTGTTAATGAATATTTGAAATGAATAAAATAATGTATCTGTTGTGTGTAAATTCACTGCGAACGGAATATCACTATTATTTTCTGCCAAACAATGTTGTCCAAATAATTGAATAATTTAGAGTGTCTGTGTATTGACAAAATTGTATTGATTGTTATGTTCCCCAAACGAAGTTGGGGAACATATTGTTTTTACTCTGTTTCTTATTAGGTTTTGGCGTTTCCAACGGAAGACTTTTCTGTTATTCTTAGGTTTATTTTCCACAGTTTTTTTTTTATTACCGATTTTGTCACGCGAGTTCTCGGAAACGGCTCGCTCGATTTTCAAGAAACTCTCAGGTCTGATAGAACATGTAAAAATCTATATATCTTTTTTTTTTTTGATGACGCCACTTCCGGTTCCGAGATTTTTGCATTTTAGTGAATTTTAGAGGGTTAGTTTGTCCGCGAGTTTTCTCAAAAATGGTTTAAGATAGAAACTTGAGATTTTCAGTGATAATAGAGCAATCAATATAGTTGTGCGGAACGTATTTCATATTCACCAAAATTGCTGTGTACGGAAGCTCATTATGTACCGAAAAAGGCATTTCCAAATTTCAAATTTTTCAAATCCTCTTCTATTATATTTCTTAATCTGTAAATAATTTGTTATAACATATAAAACAA